ATCCGAAATTTACGAAAATTTGTATTCGTTTGCCTTCGTTATTTCTGTCATTGGTAAATTCTCACGCATCCGCAAATATACCAGTTAACGGATCTTTCCAAAACAAACCGCACATGTCTAATATACATACATGTTTTTATACGCACATGCAGAATTTCTCACCCTCATTCCGGGGATGGAGAGCGTGTTCTTCAGTCGGTACTTTCCATCCTTTTGAGGGTAGGTATAAAGAAGGACGTCGTTCATCTGACAAGTGTAAGAAAACAGTTACAAAAAAACATTAAACAAAAACTTAAATGATACAATGTAAGTGATTTTTTTTTTAGATCAAACAACTTTTTATTTTAGACTTCTTTTCAGATTCATACCATAGGGCAGGGGCACCCACAATTTTTCGTCTGGAGATTTACTTTTCAAATGACGAGCTCAATGAGATCTACCAATGAAAAAACACCTGCGTTCAGGGGCAGGAGGGGGCGTGGCAGTGCATTGAAGTCAATGGCACCGCAGCCACGCCCCCAGTGCAATCGCCGCACCAGGAATGCAGGCACGTTAGTTCCGGTCCAGTGCGATCTGCAAAAATGCTGCATCTTTGCAGATCGCGCTGGACCGGAACGCAGGCATTAGTGTGCCTGCGTTCCGGGTGCGGGCGATCACACTGAGGGCGGGGGGCGTGGCTGTGGTGCCATTTGCTTCAATGCACGCAGGGAGCCAGCCGACTTGCGTCCCAATGCGTTCTAGAGGCCGAACACTCTGGAACGCAGACTGTGTGGTGTGAACCGGCCCTCTCCTCTCTCTCTCTCCCCTGTTTCTATCTGCTGTCTCTTCTCTCTCTCTCTGCTGTCTCTCTTTTCTTACCTCCACTGCAGCAGCTTCCCAAGTCTCCTCTCCCGCCTGCGGCGTCTAACACATTTAGCCGCATGAGCACCGCGGGAGGACAGGACACAGGTCAGTGAGCCGATCGAGATCTACCAGTGTTCGCTTTGCGATCTACTGGTAGATCGCGATCTACCTAATGGGCACCCCTGTCATAGAGAATGAAATGGATTCCAGTGTCTTAGTCTGACCCCCCCGTTATGTGTCGGTGCTATTAAAGTGTTACCTGCTGAAACCATTACAGACAGCTAAAGCTCTTTAGCTCTGTTATGATATCACTGACCCCGCCTCTAAATATGTGGGACCACGCCCATCACATCCACTCTATGGATTGGTCCCACCCAGACCCCACCTCCAAATATGTGAGGACCGCCCATTCCCAATCCCTTTTTAATGCCTTGTGTAGTAACACTCATGGACCTATACACACACACACACACACACACACACACAACAGGTTGGACTTGATGGACTTATGTCTTTATTCAACCTCAAATACTATGTAACTATGTAACTATGTAACTTGAATACATTTTATGCTGTGATCCCTGTGTTCTATCAAAGTTTGTGGCTACGTTGGAATGTGTGACCGGTGACGCGGTCACACATTTAAACGTAATACCGCCCAGTTTTACAGTGTTGGAACGTGTGACGGGCCATTAGGTGACGCATTCCAACGCTTTGTCAGCTGTTCCAGGGCAGATCGGCATCGCAGATCGCATGTGCAGGAGAACCGATCTGCCCCGGAACAGCCGACCGCTCCTCAAATGTCACTTCTAGCCGACGTTGTGAGTGCGGTGGAACGTGAGATCGCAGTCAGAATCAGCGCCGCTCTGATTCTAACCAGACCCGGCACTAATAAAGATCATAACTCTGCGCTCGCCGTCTCCCACATCTGTCCCCTTTCACCGCGCGGCTCCCGCCGGAGCGCCGGCTCTGATACGACGTTGTCATAAGGAGAAAAGCCGCTGAGGTCCCAGAACTGTCCCCGGCGCGGCGAATGATGGATTGCCTTATGCTAATTCTGCCCATTATAAGAGTGAGGAATAAGCGGCGAATCCGCCCCGGACGCCCCCCCAACGACCTTCAGCGCGGCGCGTGCGGGGCTTCCTGCACGCAACATTCCACATAAATCACGGATATTACTTATTGCTCCATAAATTGTCTGCCCGGCTCACATCAATCCGCTCCGCTCTGCGACGTCCCCACCAGGGGGGCGGGGGGACAGCCGGATGGACGTACATCAATTTAAAGACAAGTGATGATTTTCCAGCCACATAAATACGGCGATC